TATTCTAAGTGACACAAAATATCATAAATATTATCCATTTACACGCTTTTGCAAAATCACGGTTCCGAACGTAGTCGGATACATTAAAGAGCTCAGATCTAATTTGAGTACCTTGATCAGTTGTCACACGGTATGGCATTCCAAAGCGTGAAATCCAGTGATTATAAAATTGTCGAGCAACTGTTTCTGCCGTGATATTTGATAAAGGAATGACCTCTCTATCCAACATGTGAAGCGGTCAATGCAAGTAAGGCATTTTATTTTTCCTTCGGATACAGGAAATGGACCTATGATGTCAACATGAATGACACTGAATCGATCATCTACTTCTTGGAAGGTGCCAATTTGTTAATGTGTATGTTTATTAATTTTGTTCTTTTGACACTGGATACAAGATTTTGCCCATTGATTGACATCTTTTCGAATGTTTAGCCAAATAAATCTAGAAGCTATTTGTTTAATAGTAGATTTCACACCAGGGTGAGCCAAGTTGTGAATTTTTTGAAACATGTGCATTCGAAGAGGCTGAGGTATAAATGGACGAATGTTTGCAGTTGAAATATCACACCAAAGTAATTTACCAGAGTCGAGGGGATATTGTTTAAAATTTAAGGATGGTTTCAAGCGCAGTTTATTAAGTTCTTCATTATCAACTTGTGCATCAGCAATTTTGTCATAATCTATTTCAGAGATAGATTCAATCCTGGATAATGAATCTGCAACTATATTTTCTCCTCCACTAATGTGACAAATATTTGTTGAAAATTGTGAAATATATTGTAAATGACGTAACTGTCTAGGTGAAGCTTTTTCGTTTTTTTTTATGAAAGGCTTATGTAAGTGGCTTGTGATCAGTATAAATAACAAAATTTCGTCCTTCAAGAAGATGTTTAAACTGTTTGACGGAAAGATATATTCCTAATAATTCCCTATCATAGGTACTGTAATTTTTCTGTGCTTCAGTTAATTTTTTCGAAAAAAATGAAATCGGTTTCCAACTTCCAGCTTCAAACTGCTGTAATACCGATCCGATCGCAAAATTGGACGCATCAGTAAATAAAGCCAATTGTAAATTAGGGTCAGGAAAGATTAATAAAGTAGCATGTGCAAGATCTTGTTTACATTTTTCAAAATTTTCTTTAGCTTCCTCGATCCAAACAATTTTTGTTTTGTCATTCTTTTTTGAACCTTTTAAGTACTCGTGAAGAATAGCTTGATGTTTAGCAGCATTTTTTAAATATCTTCTATAAAAATTTAGGAGTCCAAAGAAGGTTCTCAAATCACGAATTGTTTCGGGTAATTTGTGTGATAAAATTGCCTCTACTTTCTCTGGAAGTGGCTTAGATCCTTCGGGGGTTATCAAGGATCCCAGAAATTCTAGATGAGTTACACTCCCAAAGTTGATTTTGAGATATTCACTGGAAGACCATATTTTTGTAAACGATCAAACACAAGTTTCAAATGAATTTCATGTTGTTCTTCATTTTCAGAGGCTACTAGAATGTCATCCAGGGATGGAAAAACAAATAATTCTAGTCCAAATAATACTTCATTGATAAAGCGCTGAAAACTAGAGGGTGCATTTCTTAACCCAAAGCTCATAACATTAAACTCAAATAAGCCAAATGGTGTTATTATGGCTGTCTTTTCCTTATCTTCCTCAGCAATTGGAATTTGAAAATATGCTTTGAATAGGTCAATCTTAGAAAATATTATTTTTCCTTTTAAAATATGATGAAAATCTTCAATACGTGGAACTGGATAACGGTCAGGAATGGTTTGGGCATTTAAACGTCTATAATCACCGCATGGTCTAACACTTCCATCTTTTTTATTCACAAGATGTAGTGGGCTTGACCATGGAGATTTAGAAGGTCGAATGATATTATCTAACATAAATTTAAATTCTTGCTTGGCTATTTCTAATTTTTTAGAATCCAATTGACGAGCTTTTGAATTGACGAGCTACCGGTGGGCCTTTAGTAGCAATATAGTGTTTAACATCATGCTTCGTATTAGTAACTAACAAATTTGGTTTCATTAAATCTGAATATTGTAATAATATATTTGAAAATTTTGATGTTTTATCCATTATATTAATTTTATTTTCTTGCAAAATAGAAGAAATTTCCCCTTTAACATGAAGGTTAGTTATTCCATCAACTAACTGTTTATTTCGGATGTCAATTAACAAGTTAAACTTATTTAAAAAATCAGCACTAATTATTCCTTTATCTACTTTAGCAATAATGAAAGGAAACTGGAACTCACGACGCAGCCCTAGATTTAGAGTTAAAATTTTATGACCAAAAGTTGGTATTTCTGAGCCGTTTGTTGCATAAAGCTTAAAAGAATCACAAATTTTATTTTTACATGAGGCAGGAATTATTGATAAATCAGCACCACTACCAACAAGAAAGCGTAAACCGGTGTTTTGTACAAATAAGTGGTAATTACGGCAATCTTTATATTCTGTAGCAGGAGAACTTGCCGCCAAATCCACTGCTTTTCTGTTTTCCGATGCATTATTCCAGGAACATGGACTTTTACATTTATCAGGATAACACTTATTACCAAACATGAAGTGGAAATAACAGTTTTTCCATTTGGGTTGAAACGCTTACGAGATCGACTTTTAATTCGAGTTTGATTGGAGTTTTTAAATTCACTTCTTGATTTTCTCCTGTTGATGGATAATTCTGAAATCCGTTTCATCAAAAGGCTGATTTTTTCCAGGATATTTTTCATAGCAGAATTATCTGCAGTAGCATAATAAATTTCTGGCGATGAATTTATTTCAAAAATTTTATCTGCCATAACTGACAAATTTTCTAAATTTTCCGAATTAACAACTAAAATATTTTTGATGGAGTCTGGTAATTTATCTAGCCATAATGTTCTTAAAACTCTTTCGGAGATATTAACTCCAGCCAACGATTTCATTTTTCTCAAAAGTTGACTGGGTTTCATGTCACCTAATGAGATTCCAGTAAGCAATTTTTTAGTGAATTTTTCTTCACTTTCTTTGAAAGTATTTAAAAGTCTATTTTTAGCACAAGAATATTTATTTTTTTCATCACTCTGAATGATATCCCATATATTTTCTATGAATTTTGTATCTAACTGCGCAACAAGGTAATTAAACTTAGTTTCTTCTTGATTAATATTAGCAATGGAAAATTGAACTTCAACTTGGAAAAACCATATTTTTTGTTTTTCTTCCCAAACAGGTGGAATTTTAACGCTTACCTTATTAGCTTTGAATGTTTCCTGATTCAAATTTGCCACAGCCAATTCGTTATTCTCATCCATCATTTGAATATGTACGGGTCACCAGTTTGTAGACGATTTAGTCACAAATAATATATAAAATAAGCAAAATGATTATTTAGAATTAATTCATCCTTTTTAAGAAGAAAACTATTTTCGATCGTGAAACTTTTTATTCTTGTTCTTACATTGCGCTACAAAATATCAACAACTTTTTGTTGACAGATCATGAAAACTAAATTTATAAAAACAAAGATATTATATAAATAGTGATGCAACATATCCATGAAATAAAAAGGAACTAATTGAGAATCTAATTGTTTCCTGTCATCATGTAATAACGAAGGAAGAGCTCAAAACTATTTTCAGCTCAATGAAACATCGATGTGAAGCTGTAATAAGGAATGAACGCAACCACACTAAGCTCTGATAACTCACTGCTATCATCAGTATCCAATATATATTATTGCGCTATTGTTATTGCGCTATAACTTTTTTACGCTTCAAATATTTGAATTTTCTTTTTTGTATTGAATTCAATATTAAATTTTCTTTAAACTGATGTATAATACTTAGTATTTTGTGCAACGTAACATGGTCTATAAACATACAAACTTAAAAAACATAATTTAAAAAAGTATCCACAATTTTGGCCATCACTGTATTTAGAAACATCCATGCCTTCTCCGGGATTCGAATCCAGGCCGTACGAAACTGCAGTCACTAACCATTATACTGTAGGGGTGGTTTTTAGAAATATAAATATTTAATTGAAGAATTAAATGCACTTAAGCAATTTACAAAATTCATTGGGAAGCAATTTTTTACCTTAAGATATTAATTAATTTCTGCTATATTTTCAGTTTTATGTTATTTTATTCTTTATGTAAATTGTAACAAAGTAATAGAATGAACACATCCATTTTCCAAAACATCGAAAAATGTTTATGTATTAAATTCTTCATTAATAAATATATTAAAATGCCTTTAACTGTATTTGTTTAGACTTTATGTCATTTTTCAAGCGATTCCTCTGTTTAACACATTCTTCTTAAACCTCGCAACGCATAGCTCTATCATTTTCCCCAAGTGAAACTGCATTCTTGTATTTTTTTGTTCCTTCTCGTCAGATTATTGCAGAAAAAACATATCACTTCTCCTTTTAAAAATTTCGAAGCCATCGTTCAAATAATTCGAGTAACGCTCTTTCCAACAAGAGAAAATAACCCAGTTGACTGCAGTTCATCACGATATCAAATTCCAAGACGTGGCGAAAAATAAATATTTTAGGAACTAATTAGAGTTCTATAAAAACGTATCGAAATATTTCAAAGTTAATAATAAAATATGGGCAAACACGTTTTATTCCGATAGGAGAGAATGAATATAGAATATAAGTAATATAAAATAAATTGTCAATTTTTACTTAGACACAAAAACTACTTAGGCAACAACTTACAAACTACTTTTAAACATTCTTACTTAGGTCAACAAAGAAAAAATTTATTTTAGTTACTTTTTATTAAATATGTACTCGTATATACGTATGTTAAACATGTATATACTATTAAGTGGCAAAAGAGAAAATGATTTTCCTTGCCATTTTTCATTTTCCTTTCTATATAGGATGTTGGATTATTTTTTGTTTGTTATTATTTATTCAATAATTGAATTTAATTATTCTAATAAAATAGTATAGTAAAAAGAAATCACATACTTAGAAATTAGGCCATCCCAGGTGGTATTCGAACCCACGACCTTTGGAAGAGAAGTCCAACGGGCCATTCATTACGCTACAGGGACACAACGAGCATTTTTATTTTCTATCTATGCTGTTGGACTATTATTTTTGTTTGTTACTATTTATTCATTAATTAAATTTAATGAATGAATTCATATTTGGAAAAACTATTAACATCAAGTGTCGTCCAGTACAAGGTTAAAAAATTGTATTTGAACGAGTGGGTGAATAAAAAGTATTTTATTTACCCACAAGATGATTTGAACAAGATACATATATGTGTAAATATATATATAGGGAGAGTGTGAACTAATAGTAAGAATTAAAATATGGGCAAACACGTTTTATTCCGATGGGAGGGTAAATAGTTATAATTTCCAGACGGTTTTGGTGCCATATTTGAAAACAATACTAGAATGAGCATAGCAGTCCACAGGTGTGCTCCCGTTGGGGTAGTTGGAAGTTAGGAGAGTGCCACTCCTCAGATGCGCCCTCAGCACTTGATCGTGGTTCAAGATGGCGAGGTCTGTCGCCAATAGCCTTCGCATTGCTTTAGAGGGCGACATAAATAAAAACTCACTCATTTGGTTCAAGTGTGAATTTTTTATTGAATTCTCAGCAAATTTCTAGAATAATACTTTCACATTCTTGAAGAACTCAAGTTTTGGATTTATTAAAAGTACTTAAAATCTGTATTGTAAACACTCCCCAAAGCTATTGTTACGTTGATCCGCAGTTCTAGGATTTTATGCCAATCAGTCGTAAAGAACAAGATAGTTCTTTTAGAGCGATGAGAATTTTTTGTCGTAAATCCAATTCTTGAATTACAGGATTCAGCAGCAATATTCATAAAATAAATCTCAGAAGATCTTCACACCTTCAATAGCACTCAGACACAATTATCGGTGTCTAAAATACACTTAGATAAAACATTGTTCACAAGCAATCGCTCGTTCAACAGTAGAAGTAATCCCTTCAACAATCAGAGCAATACTAACTGATCTCTAGTCGAAACCAGACTGACTGACTTTCGGTGAGCTCTTTCTCTATTTATATCCCTCGCGGATAATTCGAGAAATACCGGCTGACGTCATAGGTCTTGAAATGAGTGGATTTCTCTACTAATTTCTAGAAGAATTCAGAGGGTTCTGAACACTCCAACTTGGCTTTATCGCCAATTCGCCAAGTTCCCATTGAATCCCCATTATAAAGTAAGGGACGGTGTTTGCTTTTGAATATTACAATTTTAAAGTAAATTACATCTAATTCAGAGTAAGATAAAGGTATTACACATCCAAATACAAATTATTTACACTATTTGACACAAAATTCGTAGCACTATAAGTATTCTTTAATAAAAAAAACATGCTTGGTCATTGACCGTTTAATTTTACAACAGAGTTCAATGTAAAAAAGTGCAATTCATTATTTAAATGGAAATATAGAAACTGAAGAGCACAAGAGCAGAACATTTTTTTTTTCTTTTCTTTTTCTGAAAAATGAATTAGCTTATATCATTGGGTTAATAAAATTATTACTATCGAGTTTATTTTATATATTCGATGCATTATTTATTGATATATTTTATATATATATATTATTTTATTTAAATAATAGTTAATTATCAAATTTTTTAAATTTCTTCCCATTTAAATTTTATCCTGCGTTATTTAATTTGCTTTTTTGTTTTGTTTTATTAAAAATTTAAGTAAATATGAAGCCCCATATAAAAATAATTATATATATCTGTAAGAATTCTCATACAGTTAAATATAACTTTTGAACGAAAATGTAATAAATATTGTGATTATTAAGAAATTTCTGATGTTTCTTTGAAAGTAAAATATACTTTAAAAGAAGTAATTTAATAAGTTTTTATGAGACAGAATTCTATTAGTTGTGGTTTCCTTTAATGTAAGGGAAAAAGATTTTCCATAGATCATACAAAATACTAAGTAAAAAATAGCATACTAAAACATTATCAATGCCTTTTTAGGAATCAATAATAGTGAAAACTAAAATTTAATTAACACATTTTTTTTTTTAAAAAAAAGTATCTAAATTTTACAAAAAACACAATTATAAGTGAAATTTTAACACTATTTTGGAAAAACTTCAAAGCAATTAGAGAAAAAAGCAATAAACTTATATCAGTAAAAGTATTTTTAAAACAAATTAGATGCATTTATCGGGAGAATGTTCTAAAATTTAATTGTTTTATTGAAATTTAAAAATTTTAAAAATGGTCGAACAAATGTTCTGAAAAATGTGACATTCTTTATGAAGCTGTTATTTAAATAACAGACCATAACTAAAAAAATATTCATACGAAAAGAAATATTTTACTTCATTCTCTAGAAAATAATATAAATATCAGATTCAAAAAGTTTTACAGAAATCTATTTATAACATTTTAAGTTATCAGACTCGCCCCACACGATAGATTTTAAACAATTTAAGTTTAGATTAAAGACTCGCATCCAAATTTTTCTTACTTTACAAAATAGATTGCTACTTGACCTCTACAAAGTATGTTTTGTAAAGCCAAAAGCGATAGCTGTATTGACTAAAATAAAAAAAAAACAAAAAAAATATGTGCTTTGTCCGAATTGGATCATTTGAACGAATTCGGATAGCTTATTTCCCAGCGATTGAACAAGATCTCACGTAGTGTGGTGTGGATGTTATGAGAATGTGGTTCACCTCTACAAGTTCATTGAGTCTTATGGCTCAAGAATAACATTCATCGAAGCCAAATGAATTAAGACAGTACCTGTGATAAAAATAAAACACAGCATTTCGCCTTCCCTTCGTATATGAGAAGGTTTATCGAAAGTTCACACAAAAGAAGATAATTAAATTTGCAACTTTTTCACGGAATGGAATATTTTAATTAAAAAATAAAATATTTAAAAATTCAAGGAGTTCAATTTATGGAAGTTACGTGTTTACCATTGAATTTAGAACTGACTTTAGATTTATTGTCCAATTTCTAAAATTCAAATCAAACTTGTAATCTGGTTATTTGGTAAAGATGTTCAAAGATTAAGATTCTTCTAAAAGTTTTTCAAAATTTAAAAACACGTTTATTGTACGTGTACTTTTATATCAAATGCATTTTATTTACTTGTGTACATTATTATTGTCAACAGTTATATACTTTTGGAAAAGTTTCTGTAAAAAGCAAAAATTGGCAACATCGAAGCCCGAGAACTGATTGGATGGAAATACGTGATTGAATTGTTTTTCTGGATTCAACCTAAACCTATTTGTGCAAAATATAATGTTTTTCGTAATTTCCTATCCTACGAATGATGTTTTATTTCCTTATTTGCATAAACAGCGGGGGGGGGGGGCCCGAACCTTAACGATAATAGGGCAGGGGCGGAAAGGTAGGGTCATATCTGTTTTTGGGAAAAATATATAAAAAAAAAAAATTCCCCAGTGCTTGGTTAAGCGAGGACGAGCACATTTTCGAAAATGTGAAAAATTGACAACCTCCATCACATCATTGGCTAATGTGATCACAAATTCCGTAACTTTACGATGATTTTTTTTCACTAACATCATCTTACATCTTACCGTACTGTTAATCGCAGTCACAAGTCGGAGAAAAAACTTAGCTGGTTTAGTTAAAATTTACGTAATTTGGGTGAGTCACCTAACAGACTCTCCATAAAAAGAACTCTACTTCACACAACCGCATGAAAGTTTCACAAAGGTTGGCCCCTTTAGTTAAGGTTACAAAATGGTACAGCACTTGCTCCTTTCTGTGCATAACAATCATAGAAATTTTTTTCAATTGCAGAACTTCATTTTAAAAACACCTCTGTTGATACCTTCTATTACATCATTAGGTATTTTCACCATAAATTTCACTGTGATTTTTTCACTCGCGTGATCTTTCGCCGCCGCGCTATTTATCCCAGTCATAAATGGAGCAGAAATCTTTGCTGGTTTGATTCAAAAGAATGTAGTTTCAGCTAGTTTGAGAAAAAAGATGTCACCTAACTTTTCCTCTTCATAAAAAGAAGAATATTTCTCTAAGAAAATTATTCCAAAGATAAACCTTTTAATGACGTTTCTAAAATGGCATATACAACACTTGCTATATTTCTATCCATAACAGTCACTGCCATTTGTTTTCCTTTACAAAATGACATTATTTTAAAAAACTGAATCTTAGGAAAGTATATTTTAAGTCACATAACTTACATGGATGACCTTTTAAGTAATTTCAAGAATATGTTCTGGGTTGGAGTCCCAAACATATGCTAAGCCTACCTTTAGTCTATGTTATTCCACATCCAACAGAACTCATTAACTCTAAGAACCCATATTTTTATTGCATTACGACCAGTTGGATATTGTAATAGAATCATAAATTTTATTTTTACATAAAAATTAATATAGATTATAAATAAGTAAATGACTTTCGGAACTATTAAGTTAGTGATTTGTATCCAAATTGAACTCTTTAGTTATATCAAAAAATAGTTTTCGTATGCAATCTTAAACAACATAAATAAATCGCTCATTCATATTATTCACATACATTATTCTAGTTCTGACATTTAAAATTCTACTTTGTTGAAACAGTAAATATTTCAATAAAGTTCGTATTTGTAAGACTTTTTTTCAAATTCAATTTACCTCTTTGTAACAATTTTTTTTCAAAAGCTTTTTCGTTTTAATACCATTATTAATATCAAATTTGCGCATTTTTTTTCTTTTTCTTTTCGCGTTACTCAGCGCATTCATGTAACTACTACCATCACTAAAAAATTGAAATTTCACTTAAAATACTTCATAAACATACAATTTAGTGGATAACCCAACCGTCAGTCCAATCCCCATGGTAGGAGAAATTTGTTTTTTACTTCTCTTGCAATGTCCATCTGGATTGGTTTCGATTATTAATAAGTAGAATGAGAGAATATAAATCATAAATGTTTGACATTAGGTGTTTCATCCATTGCTTTTTTCTTTTATTTATAACTAAATGGTACACAAAACTGAACATAAGAATTCTCAATGTTATCCGACGGAAATACATATTTGT